TGCTTTTTTATTCCGTATTGTCCAGTGAGAAACCCTGTGACAAGTCGTATGCTATTTCTGTTCAACATTAGAAGCTCCCTAGCTCCCTGGCTTTTGATAGATTCGGTATCAATTCTTTAGCTTGTCTGCAGGCAATTACATTATTCCAATCAGTCTGAGCTGCTCCTTTCAGCCAATAATATATATAGTATATATCATATTTTTATAATTTATTTTGGCATGAAAGAAATTAGTAGTAGAATATATAAGCTTAACTATGCACTCTTTCTCTATATTAGCATATAGATAAGTATGTATAGAAGATTTTATAAACTATATATTTTTTTAAACTTTATGATAAATTTATTTAACGATGTTTGTCTATCTATTACTAGGCAGTCTGTCACTCACTGTCACAAGCTTAGTGCATTGATACAGAAACTTAAATATACGTGCATACTTAAAAAGTTTTTGTAAAATATGTCACTGACAACTTTTAATGGAAATAATATTTCAGATACATTAAAATCATTTGCATCCGTTTTGATTTTCTTGTTTGAATTTTGTCTTGTCTTCTCTTAATTCAGTTATGATTTCTTTGTATAGCACTTAAAAATATACATTTTTCTAATCGATTTGTATGAAATACGGCTGTGAAGCATTAACTTGTTTATATTACTAATAAGTAATTTTAATTTAAAGCATTTAATTTTAAATTATTTCTATTTATTGTGTAACAATTTTTTAAGAAGCATCCGTAATTCTATATACAAACTTTGCAGGGTTTTTGGCAAAAAAGCATAGACAAATGATGAGAACAGTTCCTTACTGAAAGACTAAAATACAAGGACTTCCTATTGAATTTATGAACTTTACTTTGGTAAAAAATAATTTTAAAAATTAGCTTTTAATATACAGTACTACATTTATATAAAAACTTGAAATTCAAGTTCCTTCAGTTTATATGTGGTCATAAAGACAGCTGTATAATATGCCTATATCATATTAATTCTAATTATTGTAATTATTGTATTGTATATCATTTATTGGACTTTTTCCCAACCTAATACCATCAGATGTCATATTGTGATGCTACTTAATCTAATCTGTGTGTAGAATATAGCCTTATTCTGCAGAAACCATACAATACCAGAAAAATTAAAGCAAAAAAAAAAATACATACAATACCGTTTGGTTTAAGATTATAGATCACGTTGAGTTGAATAAATGCCTGGTCCAGCAGTGCTAATACACCTTACAATATCTTTTAGTTAAATTTTCTAGATCTTTTCCGATTAAATAAAAGGTAAATAAAGCTACTCGTTTTATTATCTGGCCATCACAGAAAGCATCACGTGCTACAAAAATGAATATTTCATTCTGTATTTGCTTAAATCTTCAAGTATCTGTAGTCATTAATAGCATCTATATATACATAATTTTTCTATACTTAATCTATTTAGAAATATAAATCGCCTTTTACTCTTTTAATTGATTTTTAATCAAATTATGTAAATAAATTTTATTTATTTCAAAATTTATTAAAAAATGATTTCTTATTTATTGAGTTTTGCATTTGCAATTGAATCGATTATGGTCGT